AACTGGAGGAGGGGCTGGCCTGATCTGGGGCCTGACATTGTCTCTCACCTTAAACTTGTGGTAATGACTTGCAAATATTGATGAAAACGTGAACTATAGAGATTGTGTTTTTCGGGGAATGAAGGTGGGGAGAGGGGATAAGGAGGAAAATAAACTGAAATGAAGTTCAGTTATCTCCCATCTATGGCTGCTCTTAATCCCCCAGCCCAAAGGAATCCAATGCAGTCCCTTATCTACCCTGTCAATCACTCAATCACCGCCCAATGCTTGGTGGGCACCACACCGCACACCCACACACATGCTCACACACGCGCACACTCATTTGGCTGACTCTTGCTCTAACATTCCCGCCTACCCCCAGCCCATTACTCCTCTGAGTAGGAGCAGCCAGCACACGGGTCCTGCCAGATGGATGCAATTTGCATAATATCAGCAGCGGAGGCTGCAAGATCACTAGGGGTCAGGGCGCTGACATCTCCACACAGTCTATCTGCAAGTGCTAATTTGGCCAGCATTGATCTGTCTTTCTGATTTCTTTGTCATTTATGTCTGCGATGGTTTGACAGGAGATACTGAGTGAGACAAGAGGAGGCCAAGCCAGCCTGGGGCTAGGAAGGTAGGGAAACAAAGATTGTACTTCCTAACGCATCACCCACATAGAACACATACATACATAGACCAAAACCTTCCTCCATCTGTCAACTTATCCATCCATCTATCCATTTTTCCATCTGTAGTTGCCACTGAAAACTAGAGCCTTGTGTGTGGCAAGAACCAGTTCCTCAGATGTCCCTAGGGCTCCAAAGGTGTCAGTTTAGGGAGGAAGAGGCCAGTATTCCTCTTCCCAAGCACTATCCAGACAGGTCAGTGCAGACCCTGTTGATGTCAGGATAATCCTTCTCATGGTTATCCATCCCTGGCTCCTCACTTTCATGAGGAGAATGTGAATGAGGCCATGCTGAAAAACAAGATGGGAGGGAGGAAGTGTGAGGAAGACACTCGTCTTCTCTCTCTCCTTATATGACAGCTGGGCTGACTCCCCACTTTGTGGTCACAAAGGTGGTCAAAGCCAGGGTGCTACTGGTGGTGGTGATGAGAAACCTCTTAGGGACAGATAGGGAGAGGGACACCAAGGTCTATAGGGGGCCTCATATCAATATATCACCACAATATATCACCACCCTCAGGTCATCTGAAGCACACACACTGGGCTCTTACTGATTTTGAAGCCCTCTAGTTGAGCCAGAAAGTCCTGTGACATATCAGGTCCAAAGGCCACCTGCTGACCGTTCAGGCAGAATCCCTACATTCTTCTCTGCCCTCACTGTAGGGATGGGATACTGCAAGGTTAGGAGATGCCACTGGGCAAGGGAAGGGAGGACTGCAACTCTAGGAAGAAGGATACTTCAGTAGAGAAGGGGAATGATCACTGTCAAGGGATGCAGAGGGGCTATGGCATCCCCAGGGGCATGAAGCCTCCTCCCCCAACCTCTGTCTTAGTTCCTTCTCCTTTCCCTTGCCCATAGTGGCAACAGCAGGGTGATCAGAAGGAACTCCCTGCTGAGCAAGAGGGGGGCTAGCATTTGGTGTGTGCTAATCCAGGGCTGAGGTCTTCAGAGGGACCTGGGAAACTTCAAGGAGGGGAAAGCAAAGCTGTACTGTAGACGAGCTCATTAGCCACCACCCCCTACTCCCCCCAACGAGGAGGAGGGCGGGCGGCCCAGTGAGTGTGGCGGCAGAGAAAAGGCTGTCACTGTCCTTTCTTCCTTTTGGTATAAGCGTCTCCCTCAGCCGACGATTCTCCCGCAGTGACACCTCTCACGGGCACTAATGAGGTCTGTGTCACAAAGCTAATGTGTTCTGACTGGACTCTGATAGACACCCCACTCCTTCAGGAGAGACCACAGGCCAGTAATGCCCCTGGGGGTCAGACCCTCACCCCACCAACCACCAGGGCAGCTTTTTTGCTAAACTGTGCTGGACAACAAGCTCCTGAGAGTCCTTTGGTCTCTGACCATGCCACCTGTACCATGAGCCTCAGAAGAACCTCTTCAGTCCCAGAGCAGAGGGACTAAGTGTGCAGGCAGGACCACCCAGCCTCAATATCAGGGAAGGTTTTAGTTATTCTCCCAGCCAGTTGAAACCAGCAGTCTGTGGGGCTTCCCTGTCACAATAGCAGGTGAGATTTTATTGATACTTCCTGTGCATATTTCCAAAAGGAAAGAAGGGAAAGAATCCAGGCCATGCCTTAGGGTTCTGTTATTGCCTACAACAAATGATAGTAGACCAAGTGTGTCTTCTGTACACTTATACTGTGAGGGCTAAGAAGAATCCCAGAGGAGGTAGCCCCTGGAAGATGGTCAGGATTTCTTGGGCCAAGAGGTGGAGAGCAAACTGCAGAGTAAGAACTGTCAGGGCCAGAGGAGACTAGAGGCCAGCAGGCACAGGGCCTGGCTCTGCTGCTGGATGGCAATACCTCCTTTCCTTGTTTCCTCAGCTGTTGTCCATGCTCACACTCTGTCAAGGCCCGTGTGTTTCACATGACACTGATGGAAACAAGGGAAGTGAGCCTGTCTACTTCCACTTCATCTGTGGAAAAGGACACCCACCAAAAAGGTGCCTGGAAGATCAGCAGTGATTAAGAACAGACTTTGTATTTGGATGGACCTGGGTCTGAATCATAGCTCCTCAACTCAACTGGCTGTGTGACCTTTGGCAAGTCACTTAACTGAGCCTCAGTCTCCTCATCTATAAGAAGGGAATGATGCCTGCCTTCACAAGATTAGTGAATATAAAATAACATGGGTATTTTTCTTACCTTTTGCTGAAATGAAAGAAACTACCACTCAGCAGTCTCCTGTGGAAGCTGCCCTGCTTCAGAGACTTGGCCTGAACTGAGGATGCCAACAAAGCCACAGAACCTTAGCAGTCAGCAGTCGTACACGCAGGCAGTTCCTCCTCAAGCACAGCCATTCTAGCACCACCCTGTGCACCATGCACACCAGGCAAATCCACCACTTCAGGAGGAAGTATTTATCCCCTGCCAAGATGTCATGCTCACAAACCTCCAACAGCCTTTGTGCGCAGTGTTCCACTACTTTAAGATACTCCTTTAGCCATCTCTGAATTGATGTCTCCCTTAGTCACCAAGGCCAACCTTATAATTTTACCTGAGAGCTCTATGGGGACAGGGCACTGTGTCATCTTTACCAAATGTCATCATTTCTGGTTCCTGTCACAGTCCCTGGCATATGCTAGGTGTAAGGTAAATGTTTAATGAATGCAAGTTTTACCTGCTCCCCTGCCTCTACTCTCAAAATCAATGTCCTGGATCTGAATTACCCACCACCTCTGGCTTACCTTATTGTACCTTCCCTTCGGTTGCTCTGTCTATAGCCTCTTCACCAATCCTTCTTGTACAAACTACCAGACTTCTCTGACTGAAGCACAGTTCTGACCAAGTCAGTCCTCTGCTCCGACAACTCCCCTCAAACATCTTAGTATGCACATCTTTCTTGCTAGCCCCCTCCCTACCTACAGCCCTATCTCCCTGCCCCACACCTGTTGCCCCACCTCTCCAGCGAGCCTGCCTCCTTGTTCTCTCAGCACCTCCACACTACCAATGCAATACCCCCATGGCACTGGGTGAGAATCAAGCAGACCCTGGAGATGGCTATGTGGTGGGATTTGCAGAACCCTCAACCAGCATTACCCAGTGCTGCCTCACACCCCCATCCATATATATACCACTCCCCACTCCAGGCTGGCAGCTCCTCACACAGTTAATTAGCATCATGTCACTGAGGACCAGCCTGAGTGGCCAGTGACAGGAGCTGACCTCTGACCCCAGGGCTGGGAAGCAGTCCACATCAAACTCTTACAGCGCGACCCTTTTAGCACGCACAGTAACTCAGGGCATCGCCAGCTGAAGCTTATTAAAGCTGTCTCTTTGGCGCGAGGGCCATTAACCTCACTGCTCAAAACCCATGCCTCCCCTCCCCGCCTCTCCCAGCCCAATTAATGCCCTGCGTCCTCCCTCCCTTCCAAGCACCCTTGCCCACACCTCACAGCTAGCTGGCAGGGCAGCCTTCTTCATTCCAAGACTACAAAGACCAAGTGCCAAGAACTGCAAGTGCCCTGGGAGCTTTGGATGCTGGCAGGCCACAGAGAGGGAGCTCCCTGAGCACCTGAGGTGGGCCAGGCACTGTCCAAGTCCTTCACACAGGCTACTCAGTGGAACCCTCTCAACAGCCCTGAGTGGCAAGTAGCACTGCCCTTCATTTAAGCCCAGGATTCTGCATGGTAAAGCCAGAGTTGCCTCTGGCTTCAAAGCTACGACCTTATTGTCACTAAAGCTTTTGGGGCTGCCCCCCTGGGTCAGATGGAGAAACTTCCTTCTCTACAGGAGGGGCTACCTGGTCCTAAACCAGGGCCAACAAGGGTGAAGAGACAAGACAGTAGCACTGAGTTTCAAGAGGCAATAAAAAGCAGGCAGAGGGAGTTGTTCTCCTTACAAACATACTTGGGGGAAACAGAATCAGGGCACCCAGCTCAGGGCCAAAGAATGCATCAAGCCAGTTCTGCTGCTCATCCATGGCCAGACTCCATTACTGGCAGCCCCTCTTCTCCTGGACCAATGGAAGTATTCTCATACGTCCTCTTTCTTTGGTCTTTCCCTTGCTCATCAATCTTTCATTGAGTCATTTACTTATCCGGCTTTTCACCTATTCATCTGTAAGCATTTATTGAACATGTACTAAGAACTAGTTTTGTGCAGCACAAACTGCCCCACTGATTCTGAATCAGAGTTCTGGTCTTTCTTTTGGTGGTACTGGCGTTTTGAACTTGGGTTCTTGCACTTGCTAGTCAGGCTATCACTGGAACAATGTCCACAGTCCTTTTTGATATAAGTATTTTTTGAATAGGGTCTCACTTTTATGCCCTGGCCAGCCTGGACCTTGATACTACTATTTACACTTCCTGCACAGTTGGGATGAGAGGCATGTACCACTGTGTCCAGATTTTTATTGGCTGAGATGGGGTATTATGAATTTTTTGCATAGGCTGGCTTCAAACTGGGATCCTCCCAATCTCCACCTCACAAGTAGGTAGGATTAGACTTGTGAGTCACAGTTCCCAGCCTCATATCATTCTTTCACTCATAAACCTTCTATGTCGCCACTAAACCTCAGAAGGCAGGAATCACCCACCTCCCCCATCTCGTTTCTTTTTGGTGGTGGTACTGGGGATTGAGCTCAAGATCTTGAAAAAAAAAAAAATCATACCTTTTAATCTGACAAAGTCCTGTTTATTTTCTACTTGTTCTTTAGCTCAAATTTTCTACTCCACTATCAAAAAACTACTTGTAGATGTCTAAACTTGTCCTCTCAGTATGCTGGCTTTCTTGTGCCCCCAGGCCTTTGCATACACATTATTCCAACCCAAAATACCCTTCTCCTTCATTTTACTGTCTAACAAACTCCTTTGGGGTAATTCGGGTGTTTTTATCAGTCTTTAGTACCTCAGATGGCAAGTACCTATTTTGGTCTCTGTCTCTTCTCAGGATGTGAGCTCCTTGAGGACAGAATTCCTCAGCATGTTCAGTACCCACTACGCACCAATAAATGTGGAATGGATGATGGGGATAGTGTGTAGCAGGTGCCTGGGACCTTCTATTCTTCTGGTATCTCTCTCCTGCCCCCCAATGATACCTTCCCCCAAATGATCAAGTTGTGACAAGGTCATAGTGTCACCTAGGAACACCCTGACTCCTCCCCTCCCCACTTGAAACAAAGCCTATACCTAGTCAAGTATACTGCTTAAAAGCATTTGCATGCACACATATGCATATGCTCCAAAATAAGATACACAGAAACAAACAGGCACTCTTTCAGAGAGATACATACACAAACTGATGGTTGCTTTCATAATCGGACATACGCCCTCAGAAAAATATGCATGTGTTGTTACGCACACACACACACACAACTCAAATAGACATGCAAAATAATACTAACACACACAGAGAAGTACAGCTAAAGGTGTCACACACAGGCAGATACAATGATGCACACAGACACATATTCATACTGATGTATCAGAAGCTCACAGAGCCTTCAACTCCCTGGAATCACGGCCACTCCAGTCTCCCCTAAGCAGGATTCCCCCTTAGGGTATAGCCCCATCTAGTACCCCAAGTGGCTCCTCCCAACCCAGACACTGCTCAATGGAGGCCTGCTGCTCCTGCAGGAGAGTCAATACCCTGTGGACGAAGCCATCGGTCAGAAGGACCTCTACTAATTAAAAGCTGGTAAGGTTTAAATAATTCATCTCCTTAACTCCCATTGATCGTCCAGTTTAGTGGCCACAGACTTGAAACAATATTAAACAGCCTCTTCTAGCTTCATAGGGGTAGGGTGGGGAGGGGGTGTAAGCTGACATGGGCCCACATCCCTAAAGACATTGTCCACTAGGGATGTGGACAATGGGGTAGAGGACCTTGGCTTGAATCCAAGGCCACCTATGACTCACCCATACCTCATTCCCCAGCCTCCTCTGAAACGTTTTTTTAAGAGGTTCTTTCCAATGGTCCTGTTCTATAACCCCCTCAACTCCATCCTTCCTTCCCTTTTCCCCCCAGCTATGTCCCAACCCTGGTGGGGTATTGAATGAGCCACAGAAACCCTCTGTGAGCCAAGGGCCTGGGGCATGGGGGCAGGGGACTGACCGAGCTGCCAAGGGAATTTGTGAAGGGACTGACCAATGCCGCTGTGGGGCCGGCCTATGTGTTGCAGGCTGAGGCCCTTGTTCATGTCTAGAAGTCCATTCTTGGGCCAGCAGCCCATGGCGAAGCTGTAAGCCTGGAAGACAGGAGGCAAGAGTGGTTAACAGAGGCCCTGACTTCTGAAGCAACCCCATTCACCAGGTCTCCACCAGCCCCCAAACCTTTCAACCAAAACCTAAGTCTCGTAATACCACCTCATAGGAGTCCCCTCACTGGATTCCCTTTTCACTAAAGCCTCCCCACCAGAAAACCCCTTCTTTCTCCAGAGTCCCTTCTCCTGGGCTTCTCTCATCACAGCTCCTCGGCACTTACTAGGTATCTCCACCAAGCTGCTCTCTAGAGCGCTCTCATTTATTAAGGTCTTCCTTATAAGGAACCCTTCTCTCATCAGAACATTCCCTTTACCATGCACCCTTCTGCAGATTCCCACATTTTGAGAGCCCCCAGAACTCTATTGAGTTCCCTCCCCACAGTATTATTGGTCACAAAGACTGGCCTCAGGAAGGACCTAGAAGACCAGTGCATCCAAAATTCACTCCACAGTCAGGAATACTGAAGCAAAAGCTGGCCAATGACATGCCATGGTCAAGTTGCTTTTGATTCTGAGAAGGCAAGACTGTGGAAGGCTCTGAGTGCTGTGTGGGGGTTCAATGGAGGAGGGAGTAAGGTCATCTAGTCGACTCAGACATTACTGGTGGTGGTGGTGGTGGTGGTGGTGGTGGTGGGGGTGGGGTGTGTGTGTGTGTGTGTGTGTGTGTGTGTATGTGTGTGTGTGTGTTGGGGGTAGCAGATGCTCTTTTGAAGGTCAAGTGCTCACTTATGCATATTCAAAGCGGCCACCCATCGATCTGTACTTAATTGTTTTCCCAGGGTTGGGGAAAGAAGTGCTGGGGCCATCGATCTGTTCAGGTCCCCAGAACTGTGCCCCCTCCATTCTCTATTGCTCCGCCAGCAACTTCCAGTCTGGGGGAACACAGAGCAAAAAAGGGACAGAACCTTCCTTTATAGGCATGACTAGCCTGAAGTCACAGATGAGGAAACTGAGGCCCAGAAAGAAGAGACTTACGTAGGTTAGACCACAATAACATGCCCGGATGGGATTTAATTCCAACTTAGCCTACCAACAAAGTTCTGGGCTTCTGCCAGTGGGCCTGGAAGGTAGTTAACTCCGAACATTTACCCACCCCCTCACTTCAGAAGTCCTGCCCTCTTTCCAATGGCAGGAAGATGACAGCCTGTTGGACAGTGGTGGTGGGACGAAGCCTGGGTGAGTTCTCAGAAGTTGGATGGTGGGTCCAGTGATGGAGCCCAAAGTGACTTCAGATAAGCACTGACATTGTCCCCACCTACGGCTGGGCCCAGGAGGTCCCCTATCTGAGGAGAGGGCCCAGCACAAGGTCAGAAACAAAAGACAAGAGGCTGGACACAATGTGTCAGGGCCTAGGTGCTGGACAGAAGACCAGTTCTCTTCCTTCCCAGCGGTAGGGACCAATCTTCCAGTCCCTCGTCTCCTAGGAACCAATGTATTTAAACCTCAGCCTTAAGCCAAAGTCATTTTCCTTGACCACAGAGGTACTAGCCACAGCCCAATTTCTTAGTCAACCCTCCCCCAAAGGCCACAGGTGTATCCACAAATACGGGGGCTGAGTATGGGACTCAAGGACGGGGAGGAATATGGTGGCCTAGAGTCAGGACATGGATAGCAAGGAGAACCAGTGGGCAAGGCACAGCTGGAGGAGCTGCTGAGCATGGCTGGGCTGAGGCTAGAGCATACTGGGCCAGAGAGCAGTAGCGCCTTTCAAGTACTTTAAAATCACTTACAAAGGCCGGATTAAACGATCAGAAATTCCATTTAATAGGACAAATAAAGAAATAACAATCTACTCTATCAGCCTGGAGAAGGTGAGCTAGATAGGTTTTTTTCCCCCTTGAAAAAGGAAAAAGGGAAGGAAGGGGGAAAAAAAGAAGGATAATGTGTGTTTACTCAAGCAAAGAAAAAAATATTTAAGTGATGTCGGGGAGAAGATTGCAGTAACTAGTGAAGAATAACATCGTCTACTTTGCTGTCAAATCACACCCGAATTTCAGTAATAGATTCTCGGCTGACACTCAATTCAATTCGAAGGTGATCCTGCTTTATCCCAGCCCATCAAATATTAAACACTTGCATTAGCAGGTGCTGCCGCTTCCCGGCTTAAAGTGGCGGCGGGCGGTAGGGTTGCTGAGGCCTCTCCGCTCTGCTTACGGCTCAGGGACAGGGCAGCTCAACGTTATCTGCACGTCATCCTGAGTCTTATCACACTAAGCGGGAAGACCACTTCAGATAACATTAGACACTTGCTCCAAACAAGTCACCATGATTAGATTATTATTGTAATTATGACTCCCCAAGATCTTCCATGGACTGGGATGTACAGAGGGGGAGGCAGCAGAGCCCAGAAGGGCCAGGCTGTACTGGGGCAAGCTAGAGCCCCAGGCAGGAAAGCAGAGGTGCCCAACAAGGTGGTAGCCTGGTCCCGCCTGACAGATGCCTTTCAGGAAGGGCAGTCTAGCTTGTCAGAGCAAGGGCGAGATGAATTGGTGTCTCAACTGTGGCCGCAGTGTTATGCTGCACAGTTTCATATTCCCAGATAAGGTGTAATAACCAATTGCTGCCATGACACAGCCTCATCCAGCATTTCCTCAGGGGGGCACAGAATGGGGGGGGACAGCATGTGCACGTGGCTCTGCCAACCTCCTAATAAGAGGGATTTAATTTTTACAAATGCTGCTTCCAGCGGGGCCTTCACATACCAGCCAAAGTCCAAAATGATATTAAAACGGTTAATTAAAACTGCTCTACTTCAGCCTGGGCTCTCTTCTTGTTGGACCTGCTGAGAACCCCGGCATGTCTCCCTCAGTTACTAACACACATTCTGGCAGAGCTTAACCTTTGAACATGACCACCAGCACCACAGAAGCAGTCTAAACTCAGTACTAAGGCCCGGCACCTCAAATCCTCCACAACTCCTGCCATCTCGAGTACCCACTAGGCACAGCCAGCAGTCATAGACAGCCACCCAGAGAACATAAGAGGGTACTATAGAAACCTGTGTTCTTGTTTCTGTATGATCTGGACCCTCATACCTGCTTACCTGCTGTACCTGTTACTCACATACCCACTACCCCAGTACTCACTTCCAAAGCCCTCACCTCCCCCAGATATATACTCACCCTCCCACACAAGCTTCAGATTCTTCCTCAGGGGACTCTGTTCACCCTGACATTCCCTGTTCCCTACAAACATTCTCCTTGAGAGGTTACATCTGTCTATAAATCTTAGCAGAGCTCTTCTGGGAGTGCAGCTCAGGGCAAGATGGTATGAGCTATGTCTCAGGGATTCTGGCTGGGAAGTTGAGGCTGGCACCCAAAGGCTCATCAGAGCAGGAGGATCAGGAAGGCTGAGCCCTTGTGGGTTGTCCAGAGGGGACAGGCAAGCACATGGGGGTTGGAGGAGGCTAGAGAAGCTTCCTGGAGGGAGAGGTACTGGGTGGGGGGCACAGAGTACATATGATAGGGGAATACGACATTCTAGGCAAAAAGACACAGCAAGGACAAAGAAGAATGGCAAAAGCATCAAGGGGCCTCATGTCTACACCTTTATTCCTACCAGCTTCCTTGCCTTGTACCGTCCCCTCTCCTATCAGCCTGTGAAAAGTGGGGATAAGGTGCCCAGAAACTGGCATGTCTTCTGATCCTGATGGGTATGGGTAAGGAATCTATTGTAAGAGCTCTCTCAAAGACCTTATCCCTGAGCCCCCTTTTCAATGCTGGGTCGAAATTCTCTGGGTGCCACTTCTCCAGCTCCACCTCTCAGCCATCAGGGCTCACCTGCCCAGAGGAAAGAGTGGGTAAAAGGCTGACCAAGGAACTTCTTAGTCCTGTCCATGTAGGCACTGATGCTAAGCCATGAGGACAGGGTGGAGCTGGGGTGAAAGATGCCAGGTCTACTAAACCAATTCTCTCCAGCCCTATGCCAGGCAGGCACGCACACTTCCCTTCCCTTGGGCTGCTGTAATTTCCATGAGCAGGGAAGCAGGTGCTGAGCTGCTCCCGGCTGGTTTTCCTCTCTTGTGGCTCTGCCCGCCTTGGCTGCTGCCCCATTAGCTTAGTGGCCAGCCATCTGCGACGGGCCTGCCGCACAGCCCTGCTATAGGCGCAGCGGGTGGCCCCCTGTGTAACAGGGAGCTTTGCCATTAGCGCCTTTAATATTCTGACACCTCAGCACAGCCTGCTATTACATGCAAACGCTGATCGCCCTGTGAAATTACATTGCTGGGCCCGCGAAATGGAATCGTGTATAATCAGCCTCCTCCATGCACTGTCAGTCCCATCACAAACACGGCACCCGGCGGCTTATGGGGGCTTAGCAGCTGCGACAAGTGTATTGGGTTTAATAGATGAAGTAGCCCTCAACAGCAGCAGCATCAGATCCTTCAAAAAGGAAGAAAGAGGCATCAACGCAGGCCTTTAGCCACACCTCTGGATGACTTGTCATCGCACAGACCTAAGGCTGATGGGCCCATTTCCTAAGGACAGGGACCAAATCCAACAACTTGTCATTCCCCTAACACCCTCCAGAGAGAAGGCCATGAAAGTGATACTCTAGAGGATGGGGGAGAGAAAGTGTGAAAATGCCTGCCTAGCACAGGGCAAGGGGGTGTTTGTTTGGTAGACCCAGTATCTTTCACTCCAGCTCCACCTGTTCTTGTGATTCAGTATTAATGCCTACATGGACAGGACTCAGAAGCTCCTTGGTCAGACTTCTATCCACCCCAACCTCTGGCCAGGAATCCTAGGAGTTAGGTGCTGACTACACTGCTGGGCAGGTGTGTAGTGTATTTCCATATACTATGATATACGTCCTATTGGTTACCTGAGAGTGGGCAGACGCCAAGTGCAGGGCAGTGGTTGGGTCAAGGGCTAAAATTTAGCTCAGAATGCAAAGAGAAGTGTAGTCTATTCTCCATCTTCCAGAAAACCCAGAGTTTCCAAGCCAGCACCAGCATATCCAGCCTCAGCCTCCCCATGAGGTAG